CCAGAGAGCTAGGATGACAGGCGTGAGCCACCGCGCCCGGCCGACACTTACTTTTTCTGAGTTCTTTCGGCCAGGCTTGCAGTCTCTATAGCTGCCTTCCTTGCTTCAAAATCTTCCCTCGTCACTATCTCCCCGGTCCCTCGGTAGCCGAGCTCCACCAGCTGGCGGGCCAAGCTTTCGTCCTAAAGAGAAAAAAAGATTGGTACATGTGTGGGCAAATATCTTACTTTCTTCAATATATACCAAGTAATTGTTTTAAATGACAACTTAAATTTATTACTGAATAATGAGACATAATCTATTAGATATGAAAATCTAGAATTCTTTCTAAGAATACACTTATACGCAGCAGATTTGGTCTTCCCATTCTCGTAGACATAAGAGAAAAAAAGAAAATACCAGCCTCTAAGTTTTTTTAAGGGGTTGGAGGACAAAAACCTGTTGTGTTTTTAACCAGTTTATGAGAACAGCTGTGGATAATTAACAGTGTATCTCTAAAACAATAAAATTAGAGACAATAAATAGTACTCATACAAGAAAGACTTTTTAAAAACCTGGCACAGAAAGTGAACCAGGCTACTTTCAGAAGGTTCAGTATTGCAGAGACTGACTTCCTTGAAATGAATTAACTGATGACACAGAATATTATAACTTCAAATACAAAATAAAGAGGAGCAGATGGATTTCCTACTAAGCTATAAAGATATTGTTTCCACATAATGTTGCTACTAATAAAAACAGAAAAGTAGAAACCCAAGAAAATAACCACAAAAAACTTCAAATTGGAAAAAAATTACCCCCCATATTTTAGGCCTTATATATTTCAGTTACTTAAGAAATGTCTCATACATTTTTTGTCATTTACATGATACATTCAAAAAAGAATATTGTTTCCTCATGATTTGAATAAGTATCGTTTTACATGAAGTTACTAGTATAAAGATTAAAGTATTGCATAAATGTATTTACATATTAATAATGGCTATTATCATCTTAATTAAATATAAAATCCCTGAAATATAGTGAAAACAGCATATATTTTATTGTTATATACTCTTTTTTTTTTTTTTTTTAGAGTCTCCCTTTTTTTGCCCGGGCTAGAGTGCCGTGGCGTCAGCCTAGCTCACAGCAACCTCAAACTCCTGGGCTCAAGC